ACTCTTAAAACAACTACCTATCAAACTGAAACTCAAACGAAGTAGAAACTCTCACTCAACCATACTCAAGTCCACACCACAATGGTAAGTACTCTCACCCAATCCTAAGATTAAACCTTGTCAACATTAGTTCATAGTCCCTTAAGAATTTATCTTTTTTTACCCAACTTACATAAGGCTTAAAGCTAGACCATTCAACTTAGAAACAAAGTCTAGCTTTTTCATTGAATATACATAAACAGAGGGCATTACTACTTTTCTCTTATTTGGACATATGACTAATCACTCTTAGTTGTTTAAGTAGCCAAGTTATATATACCTTTCTGCCCTTAGTTTTTTAAGGTAACATAAAACTGAACCATTCAACTTTAAAACAAAGTTCGGTCTGCCTCTTCTTACCACCAATTAATATTCTTAATTAGTATTTTTTTTATTATGATAAGCTATTCAACTTAAAAACAAAGTTTGACTAGCTTGTTCATAAACTATAATAATAACATAGTATAAATAAAACCATTTCTTGATTCCAATATATGCGTGGCTCCAGACCAACCCATTCAACTGAGAAACAAAGTCTGGTTTTTCACTTGATTTCCCTCTGAATTAAAAAAAAATATTCGAACAATTCAAATTAAAAACAAAACTCAAACTTTATTTTTCAAAAATGATAAAGAAACATTGTAAAACCCAAAAATAAACCAAATCGACCAAGTCATTCAACTTACTAAGAAAGTTTGGTCCCTGAAAACACAATCGCAGACAACCCTCGCAAGTCAGAGCAACAAGACCATCCAACTTGAGAACAAAGTCAAGGCCTCTAGGCATGCAAAATAAACGTATGACCGAATCGTTCATCTTAAAAACTAAGCCTAACCTTTGGTTGACCCAAACAATCGCAAGCAAAATCACCTTCCTCCCCCCCCCCCCAATTCAAAATCATTTTTCAATCTGAATTCAGACAACCAACAAAAATGAAACTAAGATTGCACATGTACTCCTGTACGTAACTTTGATTTAAGTCTAGAAAGTCAAACATAAACTCAGTAGGGATGCATGCAGTACACCTAGTCAAAATGTGGAAAGATATACACGTAAGGATTTTAACTGGGTTTATAGAAGGAGATAAGGATAACCCCTCAGTTCCCTACCTCAAGAACCTCGCCTAGGTTCCAGCAGAGCTCCCACAATGGGTGAGGCAAATTCCTACAGAGGTCTTGGTATGGATTACGGGTTTCAATCCCGCCTGCCGCCTTCCTTTCCAAACCAATAGACTAGACTGAGAGTAAGAAGGGCAGAGGGAAAATTATTTAGTCTCTCAAATTCAGAGATGGTGCAAGATTCGCGCGAGAGAGCCTTGAAGCCTTAATGCGCTTGAGGGCCCCGCAATGACGCCCAAAATGCATAGCAACTTGGTCAATTGAAGTCAGACTACTAAACAACCCCTTTGTTGAACCTCGAAGTCACAACATTGACCCCCTTTTTCAACGAACCCAGTCACTCCGCATAACTTGTGGCTTGAAGTGTACTAAACTGGTGAATCTACAACCTCGTAGGTCCCCTCCGGCTACCTCATTCAGTAGGATGAGCAACGTGTCGGCCAACAGGTGAGTCTGCTTATTCGTTCCGCTTGTTTGTTGTTCTTTCGCCTGATAGAATGAGCAGCGTACCGATCAACAAGCGAGTTTTCAGTTCTCTTGGCTCGGTCCCTTGCACCCTCCAAACCGGCCAATAGGTAAGTCCCCAAGCCATGTGGCTGTCTCCCGCTACTTGCCTCCCGCAATCGCATACTGCGACCAATAGGATGGGCAATGCATTGGTTAATAGGCAAGTTTCTAACCCCACGGCTTGTCTCTCGCTACCTCGCCCAATACCGGGGTGAGTCTTCTGCTGAACATCGGGCATGTACATCGCACATAGCCCACTTATAATTAAAACATGAAAAAAAACGTGCTCTCTAGCTGTTCACGCAGAGAGATAGAGGGGGACTACTTTCGTCAATACAATGAGCAAAATCGGGATGAATCTTCCGATAGAATCCGGGTAGGCTCATCCGCCCTTCCCAACACTCTTGTTCTTCCTACAAACTCCCTGTCTCCTTACTTTGTTGGTGTCCTCCCGCTTTCCAAGCTCAGTGCTCTCGTTTCACACAGGCGCGCGTAATCGCTACCCTCTTTGTATTCATGGACTCCCCAACGACGACAACCGTGTGCGACTTAGGAGCGTAGGCCAACCAAACCACCCATAGGAGGAACAAGAATGTGAACAAGGTCGTCTGTTTGAACATGGTCGATGTGATCTCCTTTCCATGATAGTTGCTAGCGCCCTCACCTCCCAGCATGCTAAGTAAGTAAGAGTGAATCCCCCGCTGGAACGTGGGAAGATACACCCCCCCCCCCTTATCGCTGCTCTCTCCGGCTTGCCCTCGCTCGTACATTACGCAACTCCACTTCTTGTCGGCTCCTATTCCGCATGCTTAACTTCAATACTAACACCCCTATCACGCTCGCCCCCTTCTTGAACCCTGAAGGCGGACCATATACCGCTCGAATCCGTTCCAGATCAGGCAAGCTCCGACTTCCTTGCGATTCATTGACTCTCCCGCGAGGCTTTCACTGCTCGTAGCGGCCGTACCGCCCCACAAACTGAGACTCTAAGTCCGCCGAATGCCTTGCAGCGCCTGAAAACCCCCGAAGTGAATCTCCACTCGTCCGTTTTCATCAAGAAACGGGCTCCTACCAAAGCCATTTTCCCGATTCCTCCACACTTCATGTTCCCTTACTAACTCTAAATAGCCTTCACTAACTAAAACTCTAACCTCGCCAATCATTTCGTCCGGGTTAAAAAACCCAGATCCTCTCTTTCACTCGCCCAATTTCACAAAGGAACGAGCAAGTATCTACCTCCACCCGCGCTCCGCATGCTTTCCGCCATCTTCAACATTGACTGTACCTGCCGCGAACCGCGTCCAGGTTCATTCTCTTTTTCTCTTCCTTCGTCGCCTACCGCCCCTTCTTCTCATAGCATGTCTCCCTCCTTCTTTGCCTTTCCTCTTTTTGCCTGGTTCTAGTAGGAGCTAGACTGAGTGTTACCCCAAATACCTCGAAGACTAAGGGTTGATAAAGACAGCAGGGCGGTATTCATAAAAGTAAAAATTCGCTAATAAGTGCGTAACAACTCAACTGCCGAACCCACTTGGCCGGTCAGTGGCCGGTTACTAAAGCGCGCGGCCCATGCACGGTTGTGGTGGTGATTCGCGGCATTGTGACGGGTTGGAGGGCGCAAGGCTCACTGAGCAACCATCAGTGTAAGCCTCATGACGCGGGTTCCAGTGCAGCTCTTGGTGGTAGTAGCAAAGGACCGAAGTGGGGGCGGGTTCCCTGTGTTCATCTGCTACAGTCTTGTAGCCTTCCTCCACTACGCCCTAGTAAGGCTCACCACCTTTGCGGATCCCAAGGGGCACGCTCAATCTTCAAAACTCTCACAGCAAGTTGTGGGCGACAGACTAGGCACCGGCAAATGGTCTCATCCACAGGTTTCTTCCGCCTCGTGGGCTAATTGCCCACCGCCTCGCACGTTGAACCCCCCCTGGTTCGTGTTTCAAGCCAAGACGGATAAAAGGGTTTCGCCAGTTTTTCTGAACACACAGGAACCCAAACGGGCCCGCCCAAAAGATACACATGCTCAAGGTCCTTGACTGCAGTGACGACCACCCATGGGGGTTTACAACCGCTCCTCACTGCAATGCCTGTCACAACATCCCACGTTGCACCCATATTTCAAGAAAACCGAAAAATAAAAATAATATTAACGAGGATAAATAAAACGTATAAGGAAAATTTATGTCAGAAAACGACGGACGAGGAATAGGAACCGCGAGTACCACTCTGACTCTGCTGACGGCAAAACCAAGTGGGATAGCCTCGCTGGGCTCTCAACCCCTTGCCCCTTCACGCCGCTCCAATACTCCTACGCCGTTGCCAACTAGCCTCGATCCTTGAATCTCCCGGGTAAAAGTTCAATACAATAACCAATCGTGCTAGGCCCAAGGATGAGTTCAATACTAACTAAAATCTATATTGACGCTTACTGCGTGGCGCACAGGTCCACCTGAAACGCTTCAAAGCTACTCCTTGGTCTATCAACCTAGTCCACAGTCACCGACCTCCTGCACCTACCGCGCGGCTATCCCCTCGCATACTCATACCATTACTCAATGTCGAGTTGTCGCCAATGCCGGTCTCCGTACGAGCGCACATGCCACGGTCAAACGTACCAATAAAAAACGAAATCTTTTAATCTCATTTTAAATAAAAAACCAAAACTTTGGCTGACAACCACGCCGACTTTACAATCATCAACAAAAAGAGAGATCACGAGTACCTTAAATTTGTGCGCTCACTCACTCTCTATTTCTAGTCAGCCACTAAGCCAGCGTGATCAAAATACAGTCGCGACTTGCGCGGTGTACTCAGACTTTAAACCAAACTCATTTCCTACCACTTGCAAAAACATGGTGAATACTTTGTAAGGGTATTTGCACCGACACTGTCGTCCTAAATTCGGTTTTCTGACCTTATAAACGAGTTTCTATGGGGAACGGCGACCAGTACGTGCAGGCAAGTTTAGTCCCTCAGTTTTAAAACGCAAACTTTCATGATTTTTCATGCTCATTAAAGTTAATATAAAAATATAAAAAATTGAGATCGTGTGGATTATATTGTGATTTTTTTAATAAAATAAAATTAGACCGTGAAATGAATACCGTACCAATTTATCACATTTCCATTTTTGTCACTCTACCACGCGAGGACCACTGGAGAAAAATACCTTAACTCGGAGCTTGCAACTGGGATTTTTAGAAATGCTTGTACCTGACATAACCACACCTTCGGCGGTCGGTCGCCCTATCCGTTCGAAGACGTCGGTGGGCATCGCGGAACAGCAACCTGGTGGGCAGGATTTTTGCCGGGTAATTCCAAATAGCCGGAGAGTCTGTGGGATCAGACCCTCAGATGAAAGAGGGGTACCAGAAGGGGGTCAGAGCTCGGGAAACTTTTTTCCCTTCTCTCCAGACCCCCTGAGAGTAACGCCGAGCTGAGAAGGGTCGGTAATCACACCTGGTGCTGATGCCGCAGAGATGGCATCCGCTTCATGCTGTGACTGATGCCGTGTCTCGGCTATCACAACTCCTAAGGCAGTTGGTCTCGTCGGATTGTGTCTTGGCGTGTGCGTTCCAGCGCGCACGTGCTTCTGCTTTCATTCCCCTTCCCTGCCCCTCCCCCAAGGCCCTGTGTGTGCGTGTGTCTGCGTACGGGTGTAGTTGCGTGTGTGTGTGTGTGMKKKCKYKTRT